TTTTTTTTTTTCATTTCTCGGTGTCATAAAATCGAGCTGCAGCCGTTTCGTGGTGGGCAGGCAGGGACTTTCGGACATTATATAGGGCGTTTATGACAACGGAACGATCGTTTTCATGTTCTCCGTGACCAAACATGTATACTCTATACGTATTCCAAGCCATTTGCTTGGCAACCGTATTTTATCGCCTACAATTTGACACGGGGTGCTGTTACTTATAACCAAAAAAATGTCTCGGCCGGATCTTCGGAAAAACGCACTTTAAATATTAAAAACTATTCCAGGCGTGGACCTATAAAGGCCATTCCGAAATGATTTCCCAATGGTGCTTTTTAACGAGAAGTCAATTTTGTATTGATCAGCCCGAGCCGCACAACGATGCCCATCAATTTACAACGCTGCAGTGATTACATTATTACCTACACACCGAGTAACGATCATAATATTGTCAATACTCGGTATGTTACCATTAAATTAGGTAAATGATAATACGATAAAATTTATAATAGTCTATTTAGTCATATTACAAATATCTGATATTGTAAGTAGGTATAAGTAAAAAATGAAAAAGCATTTTCATTAAGTTCATCTAAGCCTAAGTAGATATATGTAGTATCACCTCAAATAACTAACTGTTAAAATATCATATAATTTTCTATTCACGTGTAATTTTAAAATATTGTCTTGATTATTTTATTTCATTATATAAAAAAAAATATAGAATATTATAATAGAACATCATACTTCATTATTTAATATGAATTTAGGAAAATAAAAATAATAATATTATTGAACAACGAGTAAATATACATTTAAAATAATTATATACATTTGATTCTAAACATCACCTAATTTCAATTCAATAGTAGATATTTTGTCAAGAAATTTAAACTTCTGATAATCCAACGCTGCAATACTTTCGAAAACTACTAAGAGATCGATGTGCATTGAATTTTTCTATGTCTCGAATGCTCACAAAAGTTAATAGTTATACTGCCGGAGAATATTTATTGTTATGTTCTTTACAACTTCAACAAACTTAGCTCGTTTAAGGAAATTCCTGAGTTTACACTATAAAGTGAGGTTGGTGGGGGAAAATTAATCTACATTGACCTAAAAGTTACTAGTACTTTCGTTTGGAGGAAGGAAAGGCCGCGTTAAGTTGAAAATAATTGGCAAAGCATAGGAAATTGAAAATTGAAATATAATCACTAAATTTATCGCTACCTAGATCATTATATTATCCAAGTTATACTACTTAGGGTGTTATCAATATGATATTAACCAAAAAAAGTTTTCCCATCACTTAATTGCTGAGCCATGATAATAACAATAAAGGCCAGTAAAAACATAAATTTTGAAGCATCGGATAGTGAATTATGTATATTTATGTTAATTTTGTTTGCTGGAATGTGAATTAGAAACAGAAAATTTTCACATTTCAATCTTTAGTATTTCAAATGATTAAAATATTAACAGAAATTTAAATGAATTTTCGAGTGAACAAAAATTAATGCGATAGTTATAAAAATTTAAGACAGAATAATAAGTATAGGTGAATTCTATTGACTAATAGTTATTCAACTCATGGTACATTAATAGTGTGCAAGCAGATGAATGAAGAATATTATTGTTAAACCACTATTTAACTAACTAGCAACAAAGGCTATTTACAAAACACGCGCTCAATGTTTTTTTTTTTATTTTTTGTTAGTAATTCAGTTCGTAAGTTACCCAGTCATAAAATAGCGGTCACGTTTCATATTCGTAATGTGACACATCTTGTAAACATATATTTAAGAGTATCTGTATGATATAATTTAGAAACTGTCACAAAATTTGGCAGTTGATCACCCCATAAGTTATATAAAATATTTGATGCTTACATGCATAGAATGTAATATTTGAATTTTAAGCGATCAAATGTAAAAGAAAAAAAATACGGGAGTGAACGATAACATCTAAAACGATGGTTCAAACAAAATATCGTTCATCGATAAATTATAATAATGTGATATAGTGATGAGTACAGATGAGCACTATAAATTTGTGCTTTTCGAATACTACGACATCAATGATTCATAACATTTTTATGTAAAATATTTATTTGTGTAATGTAATGATTTTTTTTTATGCTAAAATAATAAACGAATAGTTAATTGATTGTAACAAGATAGATAATTGTTTCTTTTACGTGTGAGATTATCATATTTACAAAAACCAACTTATTAAACAACGATTGTATTTTTAGGCCTGACATGTATTATTCCATAACTATAATATGATGTTTATTGATGATTAATTGTATTATTCTATCATCAGCCTATATTAATGATTTCTATTTATTAATTTATTTATTTTGTGGCTATAATATTTTTGGTTTGATTTCTTGCACCCAATTAACAATATTATAATATTACCAAGACTTTATTTGAAAATGCTGTTTGAAAATATTTAACTTAACCTAAACTGACTTAAAGTAAAAATAAAAAAAACATGTACCCAATGGTTGTGCAAATAACTGACGTGGTATACATATTACTTATTATTTATTATTATTATTATCAAAATTATTCCACTCACATCCGTCTAACGTCTCGAATACGTTATGTGATGACTGTACCAACTACTAGAGACTACAGTAATAATCTTAAAAGCCACACCATTGGATTTACGATAAGTAAATGTTGCATAGTACAGCAACTATATTATTATTATTATTATTATTATTATTATTATTATACGTATATCTATCGAACAAAAAGCTACATAATATTCATCATACTAAGACCGATTGGATATTATTATTCATTGTTGGCTGTTTGTAAATCGAACGAGTCCGTTTACACGGAATATAATAGTGTAATGAATATAATTATTCTAAATCATGATATACGGTTCGTGCACAATTTATTATTATCGTTATTTTTATGTTTATGTTTATTATTCCATAAATAAAAAAACTTGTGAATTTCAATGCTTAAATCACGCAAGAACAATATAGTAGTTCGACGTGCAACCGATAAAATCGATCAGCTGCTTGTTTAGGAAAAAAATTTGAGTGTTCAAACATTATATTATATACATATTATATGTATAAAACCTACAACACAAACGCTACACACCCACTGCTCAGTCAGGATGGAAGTTGAAAACAGGCGTGTTGTGAAAAAAAAAATACATCACCATAACTCCCTTGTGTTATCGTCAAAACGCCGGAATGCGTGCGTTATTAATACGGCCGAGTTCACAGCATATCGGCGCTAAAAATCTAAACTTTAATGTGATCTACCTAAAATAATTACACCGCTTACAAGTCGGAGCTTAATTAGTGGAAGTACGGTTATCCGGGACACAGGGTAATAATAATATTAATAATAATAATAATAATAATTACAATAATAATAATCATAATATTGTACGGACTGGCGCAACGGCTTGATAGTAGTTTTAAACGAGTGAACCGTCAAACGATTTAACAAGTCCCATTAAACTATACGGGTGGTCGGAATACAGTTGTAGAATTATAATTAACGAATCATGGCATTTCACACGTTTCTACAGGTTACCTTGAGTAACCGGGTGAAAAACGCCCATATCGGAAATAAAAGGGAACTGCAAATCGTTCTCGCGTCTGCGAGATATCTCGAAAACTGTAATAATATAAAATTTCAGTTGGGCGTTGCCATCAACCACGGTAAACAATAATTGAGTGTTTTTTCGCTAGACGTATAAATTCTCCACAAATCCATGTACCAAATGGCCGTCTCAAAAATCTTCACGTAAAACGACCAACCAAATTTTTGTGGTAATAATAGCGACGTGAACCCGTAGATTAAATTTATTATAACATTAATATTGTATGCTTAATATTATGTAATGCAGTATAGAACTATATTGAGGACTTACGTGATTATAAGTTATTACGCATATATTATGTGAATTTGTGTTGAAACTTACTTAAAACTAACACAACTAACTAAATTTCTAATAGCATTGACAACGGAATTACACACCATTTGACTTAGAGAACTTTTGATGTGCTGGCAACAGTATTCCGTCAGACAAATTACTTGATGAGAAACAAAAAAAAAAAAATGAACTATCTCATTTCAGCTCAAACAATAAGTACAGACGTACGTATATATAGTGCTGTGACGTCAGCTACTATCGAAGTTATCACCCTTCACGCGAACAAACAGAGTACTTAATCGGACGTGTGAACACTCGAGTACCATATATTAATATTATGTGTATATCAATCAATCCACACAACAGAAACGCTTAATGTCGTGTGGTGTGACGAGCAGCGTTAAAGTTAAGTCAGCGGACGTTTCGATGTTAATAGTATTAGTAGGTAGTAGCTAGTAGTAGTTGTTTTGTTGTTGTTCGTAATATTATAAACGATCAATGTTATTTCTAAGCAGTAAATATTACCGATCAATAAAAAAATTCACCTCCTCAGAGAAATTAAACACATTTGTATAGTTATTCAAATATTTTTTTGTCTTTTAAACGGTTTAATTTAAATGATCTCAACGCACGCTACACACACGACAGACATCAGAGTGCGCAATAATGCAGTAGTAGGTATCGTACATAATATTAGGGCGTTTATTAATTTTTTCAATTTGTAAAACAGTGATGGTCTCGCCCACCTACTCCCCTCCCTCAAATCGGCGTGTACCTATACGTATATAAAAACGAACTGCAAAAAACGTCAGGGATCAATCGAATAAAGTTAACCCGCGCCGACTCGAAGCTGGAGTTTGAGTCCGACGCATTTTTCGATTTCTCCGTAAATATTTCCGCGAAACGTCGTGGAAATCGCAATCGTATTATATTTTATAATGTTTACGTGTATGTTGCGCGACACGCGTAGTCGTACAACCGTCGCCCGCGCTCGGCGGAAAAGAGCGCAGGGCCGACACGACGTGACCGGTGGGTCGGTCGGTCGTCGCGTTGTTTTGCCAAAGAGGAGCGCGGAAGGGCGCGCACCGTCACCTACCTTGGGCCGGGCGTGATGTCGGCAGTGAGGCGTCCTCGCCTGTTCTGCAGGTACGGCACAGCCGGCGCAGGTACTGCACGCGGCCGCGGGCCATCGTTCAGGGCGGCCGTGTCGTCGGACACGTTGGGCAACCGTTGCGGGCACACCGGCTCGAACCGGTCGGCCACCTTGACGCCCGACCACAGCGAACCGGTGACCGGCGGCATGAACCGGAGCGAGCCGACCGGCGGCGAGGCGTACGGCACGCCGCGGAACACCTCCACCGCGTCCAGCCGCCGGTTGTCGGGCGTCACGATCACGCCGCTCACGTCGCCGTACTTGGTGCGCACCACCCGGCTGGACGTGAGCGCGGCGCTGACGCCGCCGAACACGAACGCCACCAGCAGCCACCACGGCGGCACCATGATCGCCGTCACCACCGCTGCCCGGGCGGCCGACGGCGACGGCGGCGGCGGCGCGGGGCAACGTTAACAGTGACGGTCGCGTCGCGTCACGACGCACATCGCATGCAACGCACTTTCACCTCCGCCGCCGCCGCCTCCACCACCACCACAACCACCGACACGACTGCGGCCGCTTCCTCGGCTAATGCCGTCGTCCGAAGGTACGACAGGCCGCCTGTACGTCAATCCGCCTGTAGTAAAAAAAAAAAAAAAAATAAAAAATAATTATTTGTTGTTTTTTTATTTTTTTTTTTATATATGTTGGTGACAAACGCCGAGGCAAAGCACAAATATATTTACATCGAAAAAGAGGGTTGTCACGTCGAGTATAGACTTATGAGTTATGACTAAAGTAATACGAATCAACGTTGCGCACAGCATAGATAATTAACCGTAATATACATAATTACAGGTGCAGGTGTGTTGTATGTACATTATACATTATTTGGATATATTTATTTATTTATTTATTTTTTTTTTTTTGTTATGAAGTTCTGTGTCCTTGAGGGATTTGAGGACATTATTAACTGTATCGATTGTTGAGGTTTCATCAAGACGGTGAGTAAATTATATTTTTGACTTCGTAGTTCGTATTTTCTGTAAATAATTATTGTTCTCGCAAATGACGATATTTTTAGGTATTTGTGTCGAGAGTCGTCTATTGCCCCTTTTCGAGAATGAACCGCCGGGACGGCGGAGCGATAATGGTCATTGAAATCGAAATAATTCTTGAAAGATGTAGCGATTTACTGACCAGTAAATCTTCGCTGTTTGTATTACAATCGGTGAATTCACATAGGTCTTAGAGAACACATGGGAATGATATTTGGTTTAATCCATATCGAACCGACTGCAATTATTGATTTATTCTAATCGGAATAACTAACCATCTTGGATAGGATTAGGTATAGTTAATACCCTGACAACTGTTTAGTTTGAAAGATCGAAAGAGTATTCTTTCGTACAGTATACAGCTAAACGTAATAACTTATTTAGGATTGGCGGCGATAAAAGAATAATCGGATATCACGTGGAAAATGATAGAGACATTTCGTGTTACTGAGATCGATGATGGCAAGACGCTAAAAAATGTATGATCTCATATCCCGTCTTTACAGTACTGCAAAGATAGATTGCAATTCAGAATAATAATCGTGAAAGACCCATTTTTGATTTGGAACTAACCGTAACACAGCATCGTGTTTTCTGAATGATATGGTATTATGCAAATTCCAGGGGAGACTGATTATCTGTATTGATACTTCGTACAGAATAAAATTTACATTCATAACGAAAAAAGACTTTTTGCATTTTTTTATTGTTATTATTTCTATTAAATTTACTAGCTAGAGTTTTGAGTTTTAATTTTATATTTACTTATAATTTTTAAAGAAATAATACTTATTATAAACATTGAAGATAGTTTATCAATTAATCGTTGTTATCAACAAAAACCTTGAATATTACCATAATATTATATACTGACGAACCACGTCACACTGATTTCACGTGCCATAGACATGAAAACCAGAATAACTAAAACATACTCATCTTTTTTAAGATTTTAATATATTTTTGTTAATGGATAAGGCAAAAATCATTATTTCAAAAATAGTCAAATTATTTTTGACTACTTTTTTAGAGGTTTATTAAAAATTCACGAAGAAATATTTATCTTCTAAATAACTCCTCTCCTAAAAAATAAGCATATATTTTAAATTAAGTGAGTAAAAAATAAAAAAAAACTTATATTTTTTTATATTACATAAATATATAATTGTAGAAAGAAGGTTATAAAATTAAGTAAAAATAATATTCTATATGAATTATATAACATAAATACATTTATAAATAAGTATGATAAGATAATAACTAATCATGAATTCTAGAATCAAATGTGCTTAAGCCTCCCTTTTTGAAATTGTTATATGATTTTTCTGTATTTATAACATAAATATCTATATCAATGAAATATTATATTAATCATATTATGTGCAATGCAATGAAATTATATTCTTATATTTTTTGAAAAAAAATTGTATTCCCTTTAGATTTCTAGATCACCCCGTGTTAATGACAATATTATTTTGTAACAAATAGTTTTTATTTATTTTGTTGATAAGTGCATACTGATTATTGATAAATAACGTTTCATTGAAAATTAATAATCAATGATCAATTATTAAAGTTTATATTTTCTTTGTAGATTAAAATTTTACGTACCAGTTAAAATACTTTTAACTTTTAAACAAATGTAATCAAGAAACTCATGTAGTTTAAATGTTTATTTAAGGTACTTTTGGTATAGGCTTATTTTATTAGCCATTTTATTGTTTGTATATACCAAATGGTACGTCATACAAAGGATTTAATTAGAAATGTAGCTAGAGAAAGATCTTTTTTTTTCGAAATCCCAGGTAGGTAATTGGTTAATATTTGTTTAAGAACCTCGACCCTAATATAGTCGCAGTTCATTTAACAAAACTACAGTTTTCTTGGATGTTTTGTACACACAAAATTATTTAATTTGGCATCTAGTTTTAGACGCATTCAAGAGTAATGAAAAAGTTAAACTTTCGTGACATATTATTATGTTATAGGTAATTATGTATGTTAAAGCTACATTGTAGTTTCAATATAGTAGTATGGGACCCGTAACACAACATTTATGGGACGACACAATGACTCGTAATATAACATCGTTCGTAATAGATATAATTTTATAATTAAAACATCGTACACACGCCTATTGTTCTACCATCATCAAAATCACGTGCAATACATGTAGTTCCAGAATTCAGAAAATACTGGATCAATATTATTACATTTTAAAAGCGATGGATCAGAAACTGTTTGTTTGAAAACTCTCGATTTATCCGCAGAAGTCGTTGTTGATAATAAAACCTTAGCTATAATAAACACAACCGAGACATACTATAGTGGGTTGCAATATATTATGACAAATGGCATTTGGCGACATACTTTTGATCAACCCCGCGGCTGTATAAAGAATAACCCAAGCGGACCGCGGATTCGTGAAAAATCAAAAATCTCCAAAACGTATATATATATATATATATATGTATACTACATTTGATCGATCGTTTCAAGCCGTGAAAGGATGAACGTCAAATTTTTCGCTCGGATGAAGGGCGGTAGGTCACAGGCAATTTCCACTTCAAGTGTACTCCTTCCCCCTTCTCCGCATATTCCTTTACTACACGGAACTACAACATCTAATTCCGGATTTTGAAAAGCGCATTTATTACACCAATTCAGCTACACGATAACTTAAAAATAACCATATTAATCATTATTGTATTTCATCCACATAGAATTGTAAGGTGCTTACGATTACTAATTACGTCGGGTCTACGTCTGAAATGTCGTAAACATTTGGCATCAACAAAGTTCTCACTGTAATTTAATAATATATAATATTATAATTGCTAATTACCTACATATATATTAAACGAAGCGAGTATGATTCAATTAAATCAAGTGCCTTGGACGACATGTGTTGCAATAACATAATTTATAATGGCATTAACTATAAAACATAATAGGTAACTAAATATTATATACAAAGATAAATATTAATTATTATTACTGGATTATCGCGAATTATTTTTATTAAGATATATGACTTGCACTGAGCAGTTGACTAAGCAATTAACTGTACATACATAGGTTATTGCGTAATTCATTACAACCGTTCATTATTACTTTAACGGTATGACCTTTTTTTTTTATTATTTTATCTTTTAATATATATTTTTTATTCCCCAAAATTTAGTTTAAAATTCTGTATACGATATAATTTTAAATCTTCTGTAGTACATAATTTAAAACATTTTATATTAAATTGGCTTATTAATATTTATTTTTTTCGTCATATTTTCAAGGATCAAAAATAAAGGGTGAAAACTAATATTTTGTTAATGTATAACATATTAACATTGCATACTTACAGCATCTGATGGTATGATCATCAATATATTTATTTAAACACAGTTTGTAAAATTCTTATCTGCATATAATAATAATAATATAAATCACATTATACTTTAACGTAGAAGAAAATACAGATAGTATTTTTATTCATGATACCTACACAAGAACAATTATAATATTGTATAATTATTGATACAAAATATATATTTTAATTTGTTGCGTTCAATAATGTTGTAGGTATTATGTTAAAATACATTTTAATGGTACAAGTGAAATTCTCACAAAGTCGTGAATATCAATATATTAATAAATTAGCTACATTTAAAATAAAATAAAAAATATTGTTTAATCACAATTTATCAAAATAATAATAATAATAATATGATTAAAAATAACTTAAATTTTAAATATGGTTTATTTTCCGAAAATTAAACTTAAAATAAATTAAAAGCAATTTAACATCAAACAATTTCACAATTATAATAAACGTCCGTACAGCTATAATAAATCGATTCAGTCATAATTTGTATTTTTGAATTAAGTGTAACTCGTTAATTGTTTTCAATCAACTAAATACTTAAAATCAAAAGAAAAAAGATTTTAAAACATCGATGTAAATAAAAAAAAATAAAGTTGCATACACAATTTATTGTCAGAAATAATATGCATATTATTATACAATAGCTAAATTATATTACCACGACTCATATTATTAACTTATGTTATTGCCGTTTATACAAATTGTTCTTTTATTCATGAATTCCTCGTTAAAATATATTTTAATTAAAATACACTATATAGTAATAATTGTATTCACAAATATTTTTCAAAATCACTACACCACCTTTTAAACCAGTATAGTTTTATTGTGGATTTGGAGATTATATAAACACGCAGTATGTAGTTTCTGAGAAAAAAATATTACTGCTTTTTTTAATGGTTTTGATGTTTTATCGATTTGAAAATAGTATAAAATACACTTTTATCTATACTAGTTATTCAACTATATATGACTGCTTACTACTTTCTAAATGCGTGGTTATGATATTATGTATTATTTACAACTTGAGCCGATTTAATAATTTTATAAGCTTTTTTGATAATTTTAAATATTTTAAATACGTCTTATAATAATAAATAAATAAATCACTAAATGCCGTAGAAGTTAAATACATTTTCACACATTATATTATTATTGATGATGTAATTTAAATAAATGCTGTTTTTAACAAGATTT